CTTACCAGGCCATTGCAGTGAGGGAAGGAGGAGGGGGGTGGGGCGGGGAACCGGGATGGCGGCGTCCAGTGTATGTTCTTTCTGTGCCCAGCCCGGTGACCGTTGCCTCGTGGGCGGCCCCTTTCCCAGGGAGGCCGAGGACTGGCTCCCTCCTGGAGCCAATATCCAAACTCCCGCAGTCCCCCCCCCCTCCGCCCCCCCCCCCCCCGTTCTTATCCCTGGCAGACCCCAATCGATTGACCTGGCCCCAATGGACCCTGATCCCTGGCAAGGCCTAGGGTCCCCACCTGTCCATGAATTTCATGCACTGGGCCTCTAGAATTTATTTATTGATTACTATGTGCTGGATATCCTCTTTAAACTCCCCCAATCTTCTTGAAACCCCCCAATAACCTTAGAAAAGTGTAAGTTACAAGTATCCCCTAAGACATCACAGTAGAAGTACCATATTTCTATAAAGGAATAACTAATAACTAATTACATTTAAGAAAATGCTATTTTTCTCCCTATTTTAACATTAGGTAGCAGATTTAGGTTGCCCTTTACAGTTATAATTATTGTAGCATTAAAACTTGTAAGACTGGATTTGAATTAGAAGACAGATACTATAGAGATTAAGGGCCCAAGTTATGGTGTCAAATTTCCATTCCAGAGAGTGGGATTTGAGGAATTAAGAAATTTATAGAAAGATTCTTCATCCACAAGAAATTCCCATACTAGTTTGAAAGTATCTTAAAATTACTTGACTCTCTTGCTTTTTTGGTTGGTTGATAGGTTTTCATTTATTTTTCAAAATTATAATTTTTTATTTCTTTTAGGTTATGGCTCATAGTTCACCTCAGAGCATTTTAGATGATGTTGCCATGGTAAGTTAGAAATTCAGTGTTATTAATACATTTATTTATTTATGTTTTAAAATACACTTTCATTGATTTTAGAGAGAGAAGTGGAGACAGAGTGGAAACATCCCTGAGAGAGAAACATTGATCGGCTGCCTCCGGTATGCCACCTACTGGGGATGTAGCCTGAAGCCCAGGCATGTGCCCTAACCTGGAATCAAAGTGATCTCTTGGTTCATGGGCCAACACTCAACCACCAAGCCACACCGGCTGGGCTTATTAATACATTTTTTAATTTATTCATTTGAGCGAGAGAGAGAGACATCGACTTGTTCCGCTTATATATGTATTTATTGATTGATTCTTGTATGTGCCCTGATCGAACCTATAGCCTTTGGTGTATTGAGATGATACGCTAACCAACTGAGCCACACGGCTAATACTGTTATTAATATTTTAATTAATATCTATGTGAACAGCCCTAGCCGGTTTGGCTCAGTGGATAGAGCAAGGGCCTGTGGACTGAAGAGTCCTGGGTTCGATTCTGGTCATGGGCACATGCCTGGGTTGCGGGCTTGATCCCCAATAGGGGAAGTGCAGGAGGCAGCCAATCAATGATTCTTTCTCATCATTGATGTTTCTTTCCCTTCCTCTCTGAAATCAATAAATATATTTTTAATATTTAAAAAGTGAGACAGGAGACACATGC